TTGCAACACAGCAGGGTCGCTGCGTGCAGTGTGCGCTATCCTCTGCTGGTGAGACACCACCGAGATACCAACAGACACGCCTGGAGCTGTTTTCCAGCAGGAGGGCTAATGGAAAAGCTCAGACAAGGACAGGACAGCACACAACTTCTCCTCCATTCCCGCTCCCCTCCTCAAGCTGCAGCTCTTCTCCCTTCTCAGCGCTGCCGAAGCCGAACCCTGTACCTGCTGCCAGCAGGTCCAACGCCAGCGCCCCCAGCCACCCGGCTTGGGCCACCCGGGCCCGGCCTGCCGCCCCGCTCCCTGCCCCCTTGCAGCCCCGATGCTGCCACCGAGCCGCCCGCAGAGCCGCTTTCCGACAGCCGCCTTCCTCCCGCCCCACCGAACAGCTCCGACGGCCCCTTCCAGCCCCCACCCCGGGAGCCGGGCCCCGCCGCCGCCGCCCCGACCAGGCCTATCCCTTCCTTGCCGCCGATCCCCGCGCTCCGCCCGGGCCCGCACCCGCCTCCGCTCTCCCCGGCGGGGCGCCCCTCAGCCCCCCACCTTCCCCCGCAGCCGGCAGGGTCCGGCGCCGCCGCGGCGAGGCGAGGCGTGGGGGTGAGGAAGGTGGGAAGCGGCTTCCAAGCTCCCAAGGCGCCGCCGCTGCCGCCGCCACCGGGAAGGGGGGAAGCAGGGCGGGCGAGGCCCGCACTCACCGGGGAGCGAGGAGGAACGGACAGCCGCTGCTGGCCGTCAGGAGCCGCCGGGCGCAGGGAGGGAAGGGGCGGGGGCGGGCTGGCTCCACCCCTCCGCCCTCAAGGCCGGCCGCGGCGGCATGGCGGCCCGTAGCGGGGAGGCGGGGAGGGAGGGCCGGGCCGGGCCGGGCCGGGCCGGGCCGGGCCGGGCCGGGCCGGGCAGCGGGGGCGAGGAGGGGGCCGAGCTTCCCTTTCCTGCCCGCAGGCCTGGCCGGGGCTCGCCCCTCAGGGAGAATTCCCCGGGGAAAGGGGAGAGGAGGAAGGAGCGGGAGGAGCGCTGTGCTGTATGTGGAGAGGTGGCCCCCCGAGGGCAGAGGGGTGGCCAGGGTGGCGACCACCGGCGCCGAGAGCAGATGGGGTCAGGCCTGTGCAGTGGGCTGGGCTGTGGCAGGGCCAGGCGCAGTAAGATGGCAGCGCGGCCGTGGGCTGGTTTGTACATGCCGTGGGGCGCCCCGTGGGGTCCCCGGCTGCACGCTCACTCGGGCTTCCAGGGGGTTCCCAGAGCCCCATCGCTGGGGCCAAAGGGGTCTCCTTGGGGACACTGCCCTGCTGCTGGGGACACACCTGACTGGGGGGGACACTGCTTCCTCGTGGCAGGGGGATGGGAGAGGGACCTTGGGTGGGAGAGAGCCCCCGGGCCTGGCTGTCGGCGAAAACAGCTTGTTACTTATAAACCGGTTGAGATCAATATCGTGACGCCAATAGTGAAGAACGCTGTCAGAGTACAGGGTGTCCCAATTAACATCACCCCCACAGCACTGTGGGGTGTTCTTCAGTGCCCAGTGTACCTGCAATACAACAGTGTACAGCTTGGGCCTGCATAAAGTGAATTAAACAGCATCTAATCCTAAGAAAAACATCAGATAAGTAGGAAGGGAGTCACATGGAAAGGGCATAGACGTGTCCTACAAGTCTGGAGAGGGTCTTGGAGAGCAGTGGCTAGGAGACTTGCTACCACTGAGTGTTGGAGGAAAAGGTGATGTTTTTCCTCCGAAAAAAAGCTCAGGCTAAGAGCAAACATGGCTGCTTGTTGGCTCTGGCGCAGAGGAGCAGGTCTCAGAGCAGCAAGCTGATGCAAAGAGTGAAAACTGAAGTGCTTTGCTCTGCGCGGAAAGAAGGATGAAACCTAGAAAATGCCCAAGATGGCTCTTCTGGTTCTTTGGGTATTGGATTCCTGCTCACCAGCCTGTGCTGGCAGATCCTTCTGCCTATACACTGTCCAGCTGGATCTTGCAGACCAGGGAAAATCAGTGGCAGGATCTCAGGGTCTAGCAAACAAGATATGTTGTGTAGGGTAGTTTGGTTTTTTTAGCTAAATACTGAAATCCTGGCTTTAGTGCAGCCGTTACTGATTTCACTGGTATGGTTAAGACTACCAGGGCACCCCTGTAGTTAAACCTACTATTCTCTGGCTTGATAACTCTAAATGTCCTGTCATCTACAAAATACAGTACTTTTGAGTTATTCAAAATCTTTTCCAGATTGGCCTGTCTGCTGTTCAGCGTAAGTGTCTCATGGAGTATTTCACATGCACTAAGTTCTCTTTGTAGAATTGAGGGAGTTTTTAGAACATATGATTTGCTTTAACAAATGGTTAACATGGACATGAAACTGGACATTCATTAACAACATTTTTCAAATATTTGGCCAGAAACGTTCACAAGACTGAGTTCATTAGAATAAATTAATATTTGTAGTTTGGCAGTGGAGGGAGAAGGCCCATGTTTTCTTCAGGACACAACAAAATAGTAGATGACTCTGGTGATTGTCAGAAGCCGGAGAATTTCTAAAACTTCTTATTGCTTTCCTTGGAGGTTTAGATGTTTCACTAATTGATAGAATTTTTTTATTTTTGTATATGTTTAGTTAATAGTAATAAAAGCATTTCAGTGTGTTCCTCTTGGTGAGATAAAGTTCTGCAATAACTCTCTTGTCACTTCCTTTAATAAAAAGGACTGAGATTTTTTTTTTTTTCTGTTGTTTCTGACAGAACAGACTTCCAAGGCCCACATGTATCACTGACTTCTGAAGCATGAATAAAATCCTTCATACCTAGATACCAAAGCAATTGCTGCAAAATCCGGTTGACCTAAAATCTCTTGGGCAAAGAGTAGTGCAATAGCAGGTCAGCAACAAAAATGGGAAATCTGACTTCTCCCAGTATCTGCAAGGTTTGTATTTTCTGTTCTGTGTGGAGGGGAGGCCCCAGAGGTTGGGGGGTGGGAAGAGAAGATTTCTTACTGCAGGAAGAGAAGGAGCAGTGCTGCAACATCTGCTGGTTATATGGAAGGACGCAGAGGCCACGGTGGGATTGGAAGACAGGCACTTCATGCAAGGGTTTATGGTAATGCTGTCTGAAGGTTATCGAATGCTGGTGTTTGCAGCAGGAGTACTTCAGGCTGTGATTCTTCTCAGTGAGGCTGAATTTACAATAATGTGGCTATTTAGCAGATGATTAAAAGTTTATGGGTTTGTCTCTCTCCCAGTACTGCTAGGAGGTGAGCACTACATTAGATCCATTGTTTGTAAGGAAAATGTTTACTGAAATGGGTTCTTGGTTTTAATATCAGATTGCAACAGTTTTCTTGGGCAATCATGCATTGTGCTGAATCATGGTTAAAGGAAATGACTTTCAGTTCTTGCACTAAAGATGGACACAAATAGGAGTAACAATGCCTTTCATGTTGTAGTCATGAGCATCCCAGTGCTTGTGATTTCCTGTTTTTTAGGGTTTTTCATTACATCATTTCACAGCAGATGAGGAACTGTGTACCAGTCCTTTCTCCTTTCTGTCTTAATCCATTTACAAGAGGCTTGGCCTAACCTCAGATTCCTTCTAGAGTGTTCCTTGAGGTTATTCACCAAGCAGTGTCCTGGAAATCCAGGGAGTGCACCATGTCTGTTCAATCCCTAGCTGATTTAGTTGTCGTGCCTCTATAAACACATTTCACTCATTCTGACCCTACCAAGAAGTTACAAATACTTGGGGTTCCCAAGGGGTAGCTTTCAGCTCATTACAGCCACTAAAGCCTTAATGATCAGCAGTTAGTAGACTTCTGTGTTGTGGTAATCCTCCCTGCAGTCTCAGCCGGTCACTGGGATTGCAGCAATCCCAGGATTGCTGCAATCGGTCTCAAACTGGGCTAGGGCTGGGATGAGGGAGATACAAGGAGCTAGAGCTGTCGGCCCAGTGGACCCAGATCTGTTAGGCCTTTGAAGTAATCATCCCAAGGAAGCATCCCTCAGTAGCACAACCTGCATGTGTTCTCCTGCTTTTCCTGGATATCTGCAGTATAATGAAATTGTGTGATGAGGTTTGCTCTCACAAGCAGCACCTTATGGTACATCATATAACATACTGTGTTCTGCAAAGCATGATAGGAGTTAATATTTTCAAATGAAGTCAGCACTCAGTAGAAGTGTTTCACTCCAGGAAGCCATCTGCGAACGAGTTTGGGAAGGTGGTAGCTTGCAGGTGATGGCCTACAGCTTGTCCTGGGTACGGGAAAATAAATTTGTTTGGCAGCTCGCAAAAGGAGTTCATGCTCAGATTTCATCACTGGTCGTATACACCAAACTGTAGCATCCCTCAGAAGACTGGTTAGAAATACCAAAGTGGGTTCTGGTTATTTAAATGATTGAGGGACTGCTGCTTCTGTGTCTTTAATGAGGTGGTTGTGCTTCCTTTGAAAGAAGTTCTGTGGTCAGCATATTTTAAGAACTATATTGTAATTTGCTTCTGGTCTTAGCACTGATTTACTTAAATGCCTTTCTGTGAACAAGTCTTCAATTGCAGTAATACTTCTTCAACTTTGTAGTTTAGCTTTGGTGTCAAAACAGAGCTTTAAGGTCTGCCACCTGCCAGTGAGATGGGGTTTGGCAGAGGCTCGGTGCCATTCCCTGCTGGTCATAGGGCATTGACTTGGGAGCTCAGATCCTGGTTTTGCTCCGGAGTGGAAACTCATAGAGCTCTGCTGTCAAGGAACCACATGGTTCTCATGCAGAAAAAAAGCCCTTGTTTGATTCCACCACGTGAACTGAAAAAAAAAGGGAGATGAGAACGGAATTATTTACCCAAAATGAAAGCATAAATTGAGACTGAGACAAGTAAAACTGCTGTCACTTGACTGTCAGTGCTGTGCCTTCAACACCAGAACTACATAATGCTTTTGCAGAATTTCTTCAGAAGTGGATAATCTCTGATCAGCTTATGTAGCTGTGTTGCGACGGAGGGAAGACATGAGCACTCAATATGAGTGACCAGCAAGCTTCGTTTATTTAGACACACTACCATTCTTTTATGCACACTCATAATTAGCTCATACATATTGCAAAATGAGAGCTCATTATTGGTTAGTTCTAAAAAGACAGTTCCGCCCGAAATTCCTTTCTTACAGTTACATGTTTACCTTATCACAGACATTCTGTTGTTGGACCACAGCTGCCTTCAAGGCCAGAAGAACAACTTCAAGGCCTTGCAGTTATTGGGAGCTAGATAAGCTGAATACGGTGCTTATTAAGCTCTTGCTGGACTAGCTGACCCTTCTCAGCTAGCCAGTCTCCCACAATTCTCCCGTTTTTATTTTGGGCGATATAAACTTGATTAATAATTCTCATAAAAAGAGTTTTGATACAAGAAGACACACAGCTCAAGCAGAGTAATACTATCACTATTATGATTAAGATCAACAATCCTGTTTGTAACACACTTTTAAGCCATCCACTTAATCCCATCCAGCTTCCCAGAGCATCTAGACCAAAGAACACAGTATCTTGCTGTACCTTCTGGGAGTGCCCTATGAGATCCTGGATTTCTTTATGAATAGATCTAGAATGGTCAGATAAATCCATACAGCACATTCCATCAAAATCCTCACAGCCATGCCCGTGGGCTAGTAACAGGAAATCTATCGCGGCTCTGTTCTGCAGCACAGCATGCTGTACCATTGACAGGTCCTCTGACAACTCTGAGAGAACTCTGCTTGTGGCATTGGATTGCTTCACAACCCAACATGCCAAGTTTTCTATATTTTTATGAGCTCGAGCCGCAGCGACACCTGGTGTAAATAAAGATGTGAATATAATCTTCCACTTACTCCAAAGTGCAACATCATCGTTACAGGTTGATTGTAAAGCCTGTGTAAGACCCCTTTTAAAGCGGTATCTGTGAGTCGAGTTAGGGTGGTGTTGCGGCGCGCCTAAACTGAGTTGACCTATTGTGCATGGCCCTCCCTGAGGGTTGGAGGGAATTCCTGCCCAGGCACGGTTGCCACATATTAAAAAGAATCCTTTAGGGAGGCGCCTGGGCAGCATGGTGCCAGGGGCCGAATCGCTCTTGTTGCGGGCCAGTCTCTGGCACCATGTATCTTCCCATGTAGTAGAATCGCCTATTGGAGTAAGGCTTGTGGGGACTGACTCATTGACCCAGCGCCCCTCCTTTTCATCACCTGACCAGTGCCTCAGACCAATATAGATACAACAGCTAGCGTCAAGGGAGTCCGCTAGATCAATTTCTTGTGGCTCAGGACCTATTGGGAGTTTATCATCCCAACTATCATACTCATCAAACATGTCGGAGGTGTTGTTCCAATTGAACGGAAGTTTACCAGCCACATTATATTGCAATCGCAATTCTGAGAAAGATTGATTGAACATCACAAAGGTGGCACTGGTTAAAGGCACTCCTGTAAGACAGGTGGTGAATGGGGATCTGGGTGATGCCAGGCTGGCACAGAAACTGGTTGTATTGAGTGACCGGGCTAAAGTCACCCATACATTCTCGCGAGGATCAATGAGATTGTGCGGTGTAATTTTGACAGCAGTGCCCTCTATTTCGCCTTTGATGAGGATACATATTATTAAAACGGTGACATAGTCTGTGCCAGTCTTGTGTGCTAACAGCCCATAACTGTGAGATTTTGATGCTATTCTTACACCTTTTGTCTAAAATGTCCAATACAGACGAAGTAGTGCTCTTCTGTGGAGTCCCTCGTCGTCATTAGGCGTGGCCGTAGTCGTCAGTGCGTTCGACAGCAGGCCTCACCCATCGGCTGGGAACCCAAATGGTACCTGTGGTGGTAGAAACACAGACATAACCACGTCCTACGTAAACCACCTCTGCAGGACCCACCCATTGTCCTGTTTTTACATCTTTATACAACACTTTCATGGGTGGTGGCTTGAGAGTTTCAGATCCCGCATGATGCCTTACAGTAGGCAGATCATTACCGTCCCCAAATACACATAAATGATTAAGCACAAAGAGAACCTTTTGGACCCTTTCTCTTGGGTCTACAATGTCCTTAAACTTTTCCAAGCAACGCTTTAGAGTTCCATTGGCTCTTTCTACTACTGCCTGCCCAGTGGGGGAATGGGGAACGCCAGTGAGGTGGACAATGTTCCATAATTGCATAAAGCGCTTCAGTGTCCCACTGCTGTAGGCCGGGCCATTGTCAGTCTTGACTGTGCCAGGCACCCCTAAAACGGCGAAGCAACTAGTCAGGTGCCGACACATGTCCCGAACTTTTTCCCTGGTTGTGGGGTGGCCCATATCATGTGGCTATAAGTGTCTACAGTCACATGCAAATACTTCAATCGACCTAACACGGGCACATGGGTAACATCCATTTGCCAGACCTCATTGGACTTTAGCCCCCTAAAATTGACCCCACATCCAAGTCCTAGACCCGAATTATGATAGCTACATATAGGGCAGGCCTTGACAATGGCTCGGGCCTCAGCTATAGACAGTTTATAGGCTCGAGCCAGTCCTTTTGCGTTTTGGTGAAAAAATAGAGTGAGCTTCTCGGGCCCGGCAATGTGGTGCTAGGGGGGGCTCAGTTGTGACCGCGACTAGGCGGTCGGCCCTAGCATTGCCTTCTCCGAGCCCTTCTTCCCATTGGTGGCTCCTGTGAGATTTTGATGCCATTCTTACACCTTTTGTCTAAAATGTCCAATACAGACGAAGTAGTGCTCTTCTGTGGAGTCCCTCGTCGTCATTAGGCGTGGCCGTAGTCGTCAGTGCGTTCGACAGCAGGCCTCAAAAGAGTTCCAGTGTCTGTAGAGAGTCCCCTTGCTGTGCCTGCAAGATTTGATGCTGCCATCCCTGTCCATCTTTCCAAGTTACAGCAGCAGTCCTGGGGCATCGGCCTGCATCGGTGAAGGCCGTGAGAGCCTGCGGGATCGGTTGTCTGGACCGCATTGGCTTAACTATCCAGCCCAGGTTCTCCATCCATGACAGGATGGGTGATGGTAGTGGCTTAGCAACCAGTGCCGCTCTGTCGTTAAGCAGTGCAGCTTGTAGCTCCTCAGAATTCTGCAAGTACCATTCCAAGTCGATTTGCTTTATTGGCACCCACATTGTGCTTGGCGGGGTGCCATCCACCTGTAGGATGCGGCACCGACCCTTTCTGATCAGATCTGCTAGCGTGGCAATCTTTTCCTGTATTGTCCGCCGTGGTTGTAGTGGAGGGGCTATCCATTCCAATACGATAATGGTGGACCCCTGCTTCTCCCCCATTTTTATTTTTTTGCTGAGTTAAGGCTGCCATAAGATACTGCTTATCACATAAAACAGTCAAGTCAATGGGCAGACTGTGCCACCTTAGTGCCTTTAGCTGTGAAAAGTGGTGGAAACAGCGTCTGAGCCATAATTTGAATCTCTCCGTAAAAGTCCTTATCAATCAGTCCAACCAAAACATTAAGTCCCAACATAGTGGCAGATGAACTATAAGTAGTGCTCCGACTGGTTGTCCATTAATACAGATTGGTCCCTGTGTGCCGGTAGCAATTTTGACAGGCTTTGAGTCCAATAGGGTGCAATCTACTGCTGTTCCCAGGTCAAGTCCGAGGCTTCCGCTTGTGGCTGGCTGGAGAGGAAAGGGTTGTGCTCTGCTGGGTAGGCAGCCGCTTTTTGTGTCGGCGCGGGGCGGCTCTTCCCGCTGGGTCGTCCGTTTCCCAATCCAGGTCGATGACAGGCAGCTTCGTTGTGACTGTCTGATCGACAGTTCCTGCACCACACGGAGTTGGCATTGCAGTCCCGCCTCAAGTGTCCGGTGACGCCGCAACGGTAGCACGGCAAACGGGGTGGGCTTTAGCTGTGAAAAGTGGTGGAAACAGCGTCTGAGCCATAATTTGAATCTCTCCGTAAAAGTCCTTATCAATCAGTCCAACCAAAACATTAAGTCCCAACATAGTGGCAGATGAACAACCAGTGCCGCTCTGTCGTTAAGCAGTGCAGCTTGTAGCTCCTCAGAATTCTGCAAGTACCATTCCAAGTCGATTTGCTTTATTGGCACCCACATTGTGCTTGGCGGGGTGCCATCCACCTGTAGGATGCGGCACCGACCCTTTCTGATCAGATCTGCTAGCGTGGCAATCTTTTCCTGTATTGTCCGCCGTGGTTGTAGTGGAGGGGCTATCCATTCCAATACGATAATGGTGGACCCCTGCTTCTCCCCCATTTTTATTTTTTTGCTGAGTTAAGGCTGCCATAAGATACTGCTTATCACATAAAACAGTCAAGTCAATGGGCAGACTGTGCCACCTTAGTGCCTTTAGCTGTGAAAAGTGGTGGAAACAGCGTCTGAGCCATAATTTGAATCTCTCCGTAAAAGTCCTTATCAATCAGTCCAACCAAAACATTAAGTCCCAACATAGTGGCAGATGAACTATAAGTAGTGCTCCGACTGGTTGTCCATTAATACAGATTGGTCCCTGTGTGCCGGTAGCAATTTTGACAGGCTTTGAGTCCAATAGGGTGCAATCTACTGCTGTTCCCAGGTCAAGTCCGAGGCTTCCGCTTGTGGCTGGCTGGAGAGGAAAGGGTTGTGCTCTGCTGGGTAGGCAGCCGCTTTTTGTGTCGGCGCGGGGCGGCTCTTCCCGCTGGGTCGTCCGTTTCCCAATCCAGGTCGATGACAGGCAGCTTCGTTGTGACTGTCTGATCGACAGTTCCTGCACCACACGGAGTTGGCATTGCAGTCCCGCCTCAAGTGTCCGGTGACGCCGCAACGGTAGCACGGCAAACGGGGTGGGCCACGGGCATTTGACCGTCCAATGGAGATTTGCAAAGGAGCAAGGGCTGCTAAAACCTGACTGCGTAGCCTGCGCGTGTTCCTTTAAACTATTCCCTAAGTCCTTTACTGCCTCCACTAACATTGCCTGTTACCCCACCGGTACCTGTGCCATTCTTTCTAGTCCTTCCTCGATGGTCCATGTCCCTGGTAATGTAGCCAAGATGTTACGAGTGGCCGGATTACAATTTTGTATAGCACACTGCTTTAGTATAGTGCCTTTGAGATAGTCAGGCACCCCGGCCGCCTGTATGGCATTTGCTACTCGATCGATAAACAAACCAAATGGCTCCTCCCTTCCTTGCTTAATACCCATATATGAAGGGATTCCTCCAGGCTCTCTTATGCGGTCAAGAGCTATTCTAGCTAATCTCATTGTTTCCTTTGCCTTTTCTGCCCCCATCAACGCTTGTGCTTCTGTTTGAAAATAAGGCCCTAGACCCATCAACTCCTGAACAGTGACCCCGTGTAGTGGGTCACCCGGTGCCCTAACCGTTGCTGCCGACTCCTGACAGACGGCCTGCCAGTGCGCATTAAATAATAGCTGTTGATGTTGAGTCAGGATCAACTTTGTTATACTGCGTATGTCGCCCGGGAGTAAGATATTAGTACCCCAGATATAGTCCAACATTTGCCTTGTAGGTTCTCCTTTAAGTCCCGACTCATTCACTGTGGATCGCAGCTGAGTTAGCAGCTTCCAATCCAAGTTCGTAAGAGTAACAGTAACAGTCCCTTGCGCATCCAGCTGGGAGTACGTAGCCGGAAAAGCCTCATGCACGACATTCGCGGCAAACTCTCGGTCCCCCTCAAGCACAGCACTCTCTGCTCTCTGCCGCCACGCTTGCTGTCTTCCTTGGGCGACTTGCAGACCCTCCGTAAAGGGATTTGTACCTTCCCTGCTCTGCACTGGATTTTTACACTCCATTCCCTCGCCTGCTTCCTCATTCCCTGATGGGGGGGCCGCAGGCA